TGATTTGTAATGTTCGAAATTTATAAACTTTCCTGGTCAAATATATCTGAAGTCCCCGATTAATCAATGTTAATGACAGTTATAGCTTACAAAGTTTATAGTTACACTAATTAGAGCAACCCAATAATAGATACTGTCTTTTTTAGGTGCATCGCATTGGTTATATTTATAGGTGTGTGGAGAGTTTCTCAAAAATTCAGATTACTTAACAATACTAAGCTACATTAGCATTTACAAACACACATATATTGTTGATTCTTACACTCGAGAATCTTCTACAACTTTAGAGATTAGGCAGGAGTTTCGCAATACATATTTAACAGTATACATTATATACATTTCTAAATATCAATTAATTCAAACAAATTCCCATTAAAATTAATATATGATAACAAATCTGTCACAATTATTAGCTAAGATTTTATGCTAGTAACAAAAAGTAGTTTAATAAGATTTTGAATGTAAGACACTAAAACCTTGTGTCATGTGCAGTAAAAGGTACCAGGGGTGATAGGGTTAAGGGATATCAGTAGCTTTAATTTCTTAACCACTTGACAGATTTTTTCTTTCTTTTGATGTCTCTTAAATGGCATTCTCAAAGTAGCCCTTGGTATGTGGATATGGTTTTTGTGAAGTTTTTATTTAGAATTTAATTTGGTTATTTTCTTTACTCAAAGTCTTGAAAAGAATGTTGGATATTCATTATTATATAGGATAACTTTGTGTTCTAGTTTTGTATCAATCATTGCTTGTTCATGGTTGCAAATGTGCACAATTGTTTGTAGTTCACTAAGAATGATTTATTGCTTCATAGCAAAGGGGTGATGGTTATTACACTGTAGAATAATGGGTTTCATTAGTTGTTTTGTATGAATTAGGTCTTATTTTCCATGATGACGAGGAGCCCACTTGAAGTAAATATATAATAGAGATGGCTGATATGGGTATTAAAAACTTATATTTAAAACACTATACAAGTAACAACTTGATGACCTAAGGAGGTCAAAACATTGGTACTTGTTTAGTGTTTTAAATAAAAGGGTTTTACTTTGTATAGTGATGATAGTGGCTAAAAAAGAAAGTTAGTTATAATATGAGTTTTGAAGAGTAGATTTAACACACTCATTTTGAATGTTTAAGAAATCTTGAAATTTGAAGAAGCTATCAAGGATGTGGTTTTATACCTGTAAAATGTCATCAGAAAGTCATACTATCAGTCAATTTTCTATTTTGTCTGTTGTTTTGGTCTGAAAAATATGCATGAAAATGACTGTGAAGGCCAAAGTTCTTTTATTAGACTTGGGAAAGCTTCTTACCTCTAGTAATTCAACATTAATCTTATGATCTTATAATTCTAAAATTCAGAGTTTGATCTGTAATGGGCACAACATAGATAGCCCACTGTGCAGTTTTGTTTTCAGCAGCAGTCTAACTAACAATATTTGTGGGTATGCTTTTAATACATATAAAGGTCTCTTCTCCAAATTGTCACATCTACCTTAGTGCCTTTTTAAACTAAATCTGATGAATGACCTGTCAACTGAACATTGTCAGTTATAATATTAAATCTACATGGTCCAAATTGCACATTAGTAATTTTATTCAGGACTAACAATAGAATTCTCCAATTCTATGAAGACTGTAAAACTCATAAATAAAACCTCTCACTCTGTTGTATAGTTTCTGCTTGTAGCTCTATCATGAAGTTAGTATCTTGACTCACTGAAAAATTAATTCATACTTACGAATTTCATATTGGCTTACATAACTAGCACTCAAAACATCACCAGCAAAATTTTCAATGAGTCCCTTGTGATTACAATAGACTCCAAACATCACATGAACCACGCCCAAGGAAGGAAAGCAACTTTGAATATACTAAACCTAAATGATGTTATAACAAGTAAAATCCATGGAAAACTAACAAATTAAAACTACTAATATATCATACAGAAAACCAGGTATAATGTTACAATATATGTTAATCTCTTTTGTGTAACAAACATTCAAGAAATATGTGTGCATGACAAAACCCTCAAAACTTCCTAAGAATATACAAAGAAGGTGCTGTTTATAAAGCCACCAGTCCTTTATACAGAAATACTTATATAAGTGAAACACTTGAGAGATATAGATGAAGTAAACATTAAGACCAACATGTTATTAGGAAACATGCATAGTGACTACAATTTCCTCTCTCATAGCCTTCTTCTTAGATTTGGTAACATGGTAGTTTTCATGGAAAGAAAATATAGAAAAGCTCTTCTAATTCAGAACCAGCAACTTCAGACTAACAGACACACTGGATGGACCCTACTTACACTTAAAACAGTGTTACTGAGTAGCATTTTTTAAATAAATTACTGAGCTATAGTATATCTTCAGATATCTCAGTTTTGTTATTTACAGAATAACTCCGAAACTTTTCTTTCATTCAACATTGCAAGTTTTCATGATATCACATTGTTATTGTAGTATTGTTAAATGGCAAGAGCACTGTTGTCTTAATAATATCATTCTCCTCCATCCCCGAGATGTCTCTGATAAAGGCATAAGTTGAAATGTTGACAACAAAAAAAGTTTCCTGGGGTAAGAGGTCATTTATCTTAGTCCCCTAATTCTAGCCTTCTCACTGTTAATTTGAAAAAAGAAGGTGCATCAATACTATCTATCAATTCCCTTAATGATCTTAAACATCTAAGTCAGATCTCTTCTAACTCCTTTTTTTCTAGAGAAAACAGGTTTAGAGATTTTATCCTGTCCTTGTAGGACAACCACTTCATCTTGGGTATCATTCTTGTAGCCCTCCTCTGAAATCTTTTGAACAATTCAGTATCCTTCCTAAGGTAAGGCAACCCAAGATTGAACAGAGTACTACAAATGTGGCTTAACTAGTGATCTTTATAATGAAATTATAGCCTCTTTAGACTTGTATTCAATATTTCTGTAGATACTAATTAAAACCCTATTTTCCCTGCCACTAGCAACAGCACATTGCTTTGATGGCTTAAAAGACTCATCAACCAGGACACCAAAATTATTTTTTCCTTAACACTGTTAAGGTTATTCCCATCACAATTATACTTTATTCAAATTATGATATCTCGTATACATAACCTTGCATTTATGACAATTAAAAGACCTCTGCCATTTATTCACTCAACTCATCAAATAATCCAAATTTTTTTGTAAAGTAGCATTCACTTCACAACCAGCAGCACCCAAAATTGTAATATCATTACCAGATTTAAGTAACGTATTAATGATTCCTTCCTCTTTGTCATTGATATAAATCAAAAAAGCTAAAATCCCAACATTGAGCCTTAAGGTACTCTACATTTTATTTATTTAGTTCTTGTATCATTTCTTTTATTAGGTTTTAAAATTGGAGCTATAGGTAATAGTCACTGTATCAGTATTACTCTGTAGAACCCATTTTCATTCTAACAAAGTTGCATTTTAGCATTTACCATTCTCATTTTAGTTTTGTTTGTTGTCCTTTTATGAATAATGCATTTTTTGTTACTTATCTCTTCGGAATATTTAACTCAGAATTATTTTTGTATCTGTATCAAATTCAGTTTATCTGTAATCTTTTCTTTCTTTATTACATAAATTTATAACTTGCTTGTTATATTTTATTTTATTGAAAGTTGATTCTTTTTTTTTTGTATATTTTAGCAGTAAAATTAGAAAAATCTACCTTTACTCTAAAGGTAATAAAACTTTTTTATTTCTGCCGATGTTTTGCCATTTTAGCTTCCTCAGGCCTAGTAGTACAAGAAGTGTTTGAGTTGAAAGTATACATTAACTTCTTAAACTGCTTTTGGTGTTATGTTTCTCAAGACTTTGGTAATGTGCTTTTAATAGTGTTTAGAATATTATTGTTGTTCCCTAATTGTTCCAGTATTACAGTATAGTTATGATACTAACTATACTACTATTTGACATATTTTAATTATGTGAAACATAAGAGTAAACATATTCTCAACGGTGAAATTTTGGCAAAAATAAAAAGTTTTTTATTATTATCCTGATGAAGCTGCAATGTTAAAGCATTGGCAAAAATAAAAAGTTTTTAAAATTATTATCTGGAGAGTGAAGGTTGTATTTTTCTAATATTATTGCCAAAATGTCTAAATCTTTCTGTTATGCAGTATAACTTCTTAAAAACAACAAAATTCTTTTATAGTTGACAAAAGTCCTCCAGCTTTTGACCAAAGAGTAAAAGAAAATAAGAAAACTGCTTGTAGTCCAATATTGTCTGCTAGTAATGTTCCTCTGTGGCAGATTCTTTCAGAAAACCAAAGTCTGGAAAAGGTAATTTGGATAAAAGGATCTATGCAATTTTTACTTTTGGTGAAGTATATTTTCATCATAGCTTTATGGAGTATGATTGGCAGGAACTTCTTTAGACAATTTTTTTTTATTGACAAAATTGTATTTTATTTTTGGCTGTTGCAAATTGTTATTCTTTTTAATGGCATAACTTCTTTGCATACTTTTAGTCAACAAGAAGCTCATTTTGGAGTAATTTATTGAAGAAATAAACTAAAAAAAAATTAACATATTATCGGAAGAAATAGAACATGATATTAATTTACTCAAAATTGAGTTTCGTGTGTTGTATCCTATAAGTTTATAAAATTAAGAACTTTAATGTATTTTCTAGTTTTGCCTTAATAGTTTGGAGTAGTAGAATTATTTTGGTTTATCTCTCCTTAGCAATTTGAATATGCATGTGTAGAACTTGGATCTTATTTGTTTTTGACCTAACAGTTTGGAGATACAGAACTGGAATCAGATGGAGAAGAGCCATCATCTGAGATCCTTTCCCGTTATCGTGTTATTCGCCGCCACACTGTAGGACCTGAAAATTCACACCATAAACAAGTTCCAAATCTAGAGATAGGATATTTAATGGCCAGTCAAAGGAGTCGAAACTTTCAACCAATTATTAATCTTCAACTTCCACCAGTATTGCCCCTCAGTGCTCTTCCTAATACTAATCTTCCCCAAAACCTTCCACTGGTTCAACATCAGCCACCAGGAAACTTCACTTTCAAGGACCAGCATTTACTGAAACCCCCACCTGTGCTGGATGCAGGTGAAGTACTTGGTTTAATTTTTATTAACGAAAATGTTTTAATGTAACCTTAAATTATAAGTTAGTATACAATGCGCATATACAACAAACGAAAAAGAGGCAAAACTACTACTTTTGTATAAGACTCATCATGAGTTATAAATAAGCCAATATGCAATAAAGTTATCTAATTGTATAGATGCTGAGAGACAATAAAATGAAAGCCTAGCTGGTTATTAATTTTTCAACCAATTGCCATCAGTTGGAAATAACTGATTCAAGTTTCTGCAAACATAAATTTTCTAATGACATCATATTATTTTGTAAAGCTTATAAAAGCAAAAATGCAATTTTTTAATATTAACTTTATCATGTACATAACCTTAGAATCTGATAATTTATTTAGAAATTTTCAGTAATTTCACAAACAATAATTTTATGACTTGAAAATAAATTTTGAAGTGTAATGAGACAAAAAAAGATATGAAACTATATGTATATATACATGTTAAAGATTTCGTTTTCACTAGAGGGAAATTTAAAAGAGAATCTATGATGTAGAGGCCTAATTCATTCTTTTATTGGCCATACCCTATGCTGTGGACAGAATTTTTGACTATTCAAGGCTCATCAGCACAGCTTGGGTTAGCAAAAGAAAGAAATGCTATTAGGCCTGTTTTGGGTTTTGAGATATTATATACACTTCACCATAAAGAAGACCCAGGTCATAATCATAGCCACTATCACCATAGAAATAGTTCTCCAGATTTAATAGCATTTGGAATGTAGGGTAAAAACTAGTTAGTAATTAGTATGTAATAACTAATAATTAGACTTTGGTGATTGTATATTCTACAAACTGTGACAGTGACAATATTACTGGATTAGCAGGGGTTCCCAAGCATTTTTTGATGCCTACCAGTTGAGCTTCATTAACGGAGATGGGATCTTGAGATCAGATTATGAAATCTTGATCTTATATGATCAGATCTCGATCTCAACTATTCAAGTCTCAGTCTTGTTTTCAGCATGTTAGGTCTTGGTGTCTGTGAACTTGCAAGTAACATCATGCACAGATTTTGTTTGTGAACATCTTATGAAAACTTGATTTATCTCCTGGCTAGTGTTCTGATCCAAACTATGGTTTTATTTGGTTGGTTGGTTGTTTGGCATTTTTTTGGCACAAAGCAACTAGACTATCTGCACCAAACAACCGGTAAAAATGCTAGAAGTAAAATTCTATAAAACATGAAAAGAAAACAAGCTAAAATCTAAACAATGCCCAAAAGTCAGGTTATTTGGTTTGAAAATGATCATCCAGAATAGGGAAAAATAGTGAAATATGCCCTAAGGAATAATATTGTTGATGCTATTCTGTAAGAAGTAGATTATCTTCCTGAAGTAGAACCAATTGAAAGAGTAGCTAGCAGTAATGTTGTATGACAGATTGATCAGAGTGGAGATGTCCAGCCTCCGTAGAAAATTGCTTGTTCAGTTTTTTTGCATCATATGCAAAGCTCTGACAGCTATATCAAGGACCCAGTTCTCAGCCTACAGTAATTCATTCTCTTGTTTTATTGGCTTTGGAAATGCTTCTATCACTATTAGGACAACAAAATTCTTGGAGAATATATTCTGCATTACTTCAACATCAGCAGTAGTAGAAAGGGTCTTCAGCCTTGGGAGGGGGAGAGCTGTTCATGAGACTGCATTAAGCAAAAATTTCATGAAGATATCTCTCATCTTTAATGTTTTTAAGATGCAACAACAACTAGCAAATAAGGCTGTTGTTCTTGCTAATGTGCAAACAAATGCCAAAACTAACAAAAGTAATGGTTATGTTTTAAATCATATGGATTAACCAGATATTTACTTGACATGCTATTAGATATATTTATATATATCACATTTAATTAATCTCTATTCATAAATAACATTGAACAACAATTAAATCCATTCAAATAAGAATAACGGTCCTGTAATTAGTAAATATTTGCCTTTTTTTGATCTTTAGTCATCTGTTAGTGTTGAAATTACTTTTTGTTATTGATTAAATTATTCAAATAGAAATATATCAATTGTATTTTATTCTTGCTAAGTGTTAACTGAATGTCAATCAAAACATAATTACTTGTAAGTTGCATTTAATTTACATTTTGTTACTTGAAAATGCATTTAAGTTGCTGTTAAATGTCCATTTAATGTCAGTAATGATTATTTAAATGTGATACACATATGTAAGTGCATGTAAGTTGAATATCTATATCATACAATATAAAGCATGACCAAAATAATTGTTATAAATTTCTTAGTGTTGTGTATTCCTAAATGGATTGAGTGGAACTAGAAAAATCCTTTAAATTATTATTTTGGATGTTAATATTAAAATAATAGTCAGACAAGTAAAATATTGACTATACAGTGAAAGTCTGATAGGATAATGCTTTTTTAAAGGTTGTTCCTGGTCTTAGTCTCAGAATGTATGTCAGGTTTTGGTCTAAGGAGTTTGATCTCAACATCTCTGTTTATTAAACACAGTCAGTTGCTGTGGAACATATAAAAGGCAGAAAAATAACCTCCTGTCTGTGAACTCTTTGTTAAATTTATAACAAAATGAAAAGGTACTTCTATGACTGAAATTTGGGCTTTGGAACACAGTTCAGTAACCCCTGAATTTAGGTATGAAATTAAAGTATATATGTATGGTGTGTTTGTGTGTGATTTTAAATATAAATCAAGATGGTAGAGGTGGTTTTCATAAAATATGTATCATAATTCGAAAAATTATGTATAGTCCATTTTTGTAATACTAGCATAAGTGATAGAGTGAAATGGGTATTATGGTCATGTGTTTTCTTTAACTAGTTGGTGGCTTAAATCGCAGAGCCTCAGATGGAGAAGCCAACATTCAGAAGTGCTTACAAAAGCAGCTATTCCAAGGCCAATTCAGCTATTCCACTAGTAAAGAAAAGGTACCATGTGTAAGTACACAATAAATTAGTTCATATTTGTTTGTTAAAGTTTCTACAAGTTTTCAGTGTAAAAATTGCCAAAAATGGGTTTGCCTTTCTAGCAGGCCATTTTTGCAAACATCTAAGTAATTATAATTTTAAGTATTGAATATGTTACTTTTATTGTAGTTTTTTTATTAAGTGTCTTTTTTTTGTTGACGTTTTTTTTGCAAAGCCATGATATATGCTAAAGTAAACACTACAGTTATAAGGGATGTCTTTTTTTTGTTCAGGGTTTTCATACAAAGTCATTATATATGCATAGGTAAATACTACAGTTGTAAGCTAATAGCTTCTAAAACTTAAGAATTTGAACTGAGGAGCTCTACATATTATGGCCTGATTGACTGCTAGATCTCTCAAAAGCTACTTACACTTATAGTTTGCTGTTGCAGTTCCATACCCTGACAGAATGTATTATGAAATTATGGATGTTGCTACACTGCCTGGTGATGTTATTCTATGGGAAAAAATCCTGCCTCTGTATGCGAGAATAGTTTGAGACAAGTATCATCTAGAATCTGCCTTGGCCTTCCCAGAGCCCTGATCTAAATGTAATTAAATCTATCTGGAATATTTTGGGATGTTGCGCATGAGGGAGAGAGAACGGATGTCAAAATTTCACTGCTTTTGATTCCTTTCAACTCTTGAATAGTAGACTGTTCTGTCAGATGTGTTCCAGTTGTTAATATATTGTTTTACCAAACACTTGAATATTACACTATCCTAATACAATGTTAGGTATCACCACCAGACAAAAGAATACCCCTAAAAGTGTAATTTTTTAAAACTGTGTAAATATTACCACCATGTATATAAAACAAACACATTTACACAATGTTATATGTTACATACTTCTATAATATTTCATTGGATCTCACATTTATAATTTATCACCATCATGAATAAGCAAGTATTTCAAGATGGTTACAACTTCTCTAGGTCCAGCCAAGCAATCCAGCTCCAGTCCCTCAAATGTCAGTTTTACCAATACCAATTGGGGAAGAAAATAGAGAATTTGATGACAGGTTAGATACAGGAGCAATCTCAAGGTAAGAAATTTAAATGGGTTTATCTTCCTTAGCTCTTAAATGTGCTTACCAATCACATATTGATCTGAGCACCTATGATTTTGTTGTACATTATCAGTAAGAGTGGGCTCATTCAGCAATCCATACATTTTATGTTATTTGCCTACTATAATCATACTGCTAATTTAGTACAGAAAATGAAAATATCCACTGAAAAGATAATTGGAAACACATTTTGTTTTTTTGTGAATATGAAACAGAAGATATGTATGAAAAAATAGTCTTATTAAGAGGTAGTAGGTGTTGAATGTTGAAAAACAAATTCTGATTTAGATTATCGGAAAACACTTTTCTAGGTGTTAAGAATATATAGATCTAAATTCATCTATGTTTTTTCAAAATTGCCAATAGTTTAGGCTTTTGACAACAATTAAATAATGCATTATTTTAAAATGCATATGTTGGTGAATTAATCACACTGAAGTGCTTTAGTGTACAAGCTTTATTTTCTTTTTATAGCAAATAGTCAGGTGAACTTATCCACCTAATGGAGGAGTATGTGGTTGGTTGGTTTAATTATAATGAATATACTAGCTTGATGGTTGGTTGGTTTAATTATAATGAATATACTAGCTTGATGGTTGGTTGGGGTTTATTGGTGTAAAGCAACTAGGCTATCTGCTCCAAACTAGCTTGATAGTGACAAAATGTTGAATCAGAAAGTATCTTAGGTTGATATAGTAATATATTATATCCTAAGGATTTTTCTCTGCAGCTAACATTTTGACTGACATCCATGGTTTAAATAGTGAAACTTAGGTAAAAAGACAATTATGTACTAATGTGATGGCTGGGTTTTTGCTTTAGATACCTACAAACACGTGGTCATTCCAAACGCCACACTTTGGCTATGGCTTCACCAGAAGAAGTTCAAGAAGTCCATAGGAAAATGCATTCTTCATTCAGACAACGAAGAACTGGTGTATTGGCAGTTACAGAAAAGCTTTCAGGTAAAAGTCTCATGTTTTATCAAAATTTGGTAAATAGTTATATTTTAAAAAATATTTGAAGGGAATACCAAAAACCAGAATAGGAACTTGAATGACATACTAAAACCCAGAACCCCACAGAACACATTCTCTCACATGTAGCTCAAGCAAAACAAAGCAATCCATAATACTCTCAAAGCAGGCTTTAATCATTCATATTAATACCTTTTTAATACATTTTATGTACGTTAAATTCTTATTCTTGCTGATTGAAAAGTATGTTTAAAACTTGTAACATGCAATTTTCTTTTTAACATGGATGCGCACACACACACATTAACTGTAGATTTTGTATAGCAGTTGAATCTGTGAAGGCCCTTTTTATTTATATGCTGCTAGTAAATTCAATATTCCAAAACACACTTTCTCTCACACTGTAACTTCATCCTGATGATTTTATATGCCCATCTAAGCATTGGTACGAATCTTACCTTGCTTACTCCAGCCTTTATACCCAACTATATTGCCCATAGCAAGTTAAGTTTTGTGATTCTCTCCACCTATGTCAGTGAGCCCTCTATCCCAGGTCTGTATATAAGTTCACTATTGGTACTTCCTATACACTTTTTCTCAATGGCAGAACATTATGATGATGGTTTTGCATACTTGCTGCGGGTTTCTCTTCAGTGTTGAATAGCTTTAGTTATACTCATGCCTTAGATGATTTCTCTTTTTAGACCTGTCTTATTGGGTCTTCCAATATAGTACTTCCCTCTTCTCACAATATTATCTATTCTTGTCCAGTGCTGCCCTCTATATGCAATTTTTTATCTTAACACATGCCACTGGCCTTTTCCTCCCCCTCTATTGGAATCAAATGAATCCATCATATCTCTTGTGTAAATCATCATGTGATACATGTGACTCCCTCTATACGACTGTATCAAACTATCATTTCTCATTTAGCAGCACATGTGCTCAGATGTGTTCCTTTTTGTGTGTTTAAAGTTTCACGTTCATCTTTAGTATACTCACGTAGTGGTATTCATTTATTTTCACTTCTAGTTTCTATTAAAACTGTTTCTCTACTTTAATCCTAGTTTATTACAGTCACATTGTTATTTACACTTTCTATTAGTCGTTGACTCTTCCTCATTATGAAGCTGAGCCTGTTCAGGTGGATGAGGACTTAGATTGCCTATTTTCATTCCTGTTTTTGCTATGCCTTCTCATGTCTCGCCTGAGTCTGTTAGGCCTAATACAGTTTTTTTTATTTCATTTCTCAGGTACGTAACATTTTATCCCTTTCTTCTATTTCCTATAAACCACATCCTTCCTTACTACATGACCAATCTTCCCATCTCTGTTTGGTTTTTCTCCCCTCCCTATATATTCAGGTACATGCTGAGCAATTTGCCTTACAATTAAGTGATGGGATTAGCATGCCTCGCCTCCCATGGCCTTCAGATTGGTTTGCTCTTGCATATCATCATGCAGACTAATCTTTTCTGGACCAACAATTGTTAGGTTCCATTTTTCTGTTTGAGTGTGGTTCCTGAATCTCCTGTAAGTCTGACTCCTGCCCACTTTTTCCACCTTCGTCTTACCAGCACAACTCTTTTATGATATCTCTCTACCATCATGTCCTCTCCCTTCCTCTATGTTGGCTCGTTTATTATCTTTGGCTCTGGCTTTACTTACATGTTGTTGGGACCTTCTACGTCGTGATGCAACCTTAACTCGCATCCGTTTACCATCATCTTATGTTTGGGATTTACGCATAGCCCCATTTCTGCGGCAATACGTCTTTGACATGATCCCCGAGTCTTTGGAATCATGAGTTGCATCAGTACAACAGCAGTTTACCCTTTCCAATCTTGTTGCCCGTTTGTCTCAGTTGGAGCCCATTATTGCATCTGTTACACTTTCCTGTCCCTCCCATTCCTAACCCTTACTCGTCCCTTCTTTTTGGGAGTGCCTCATCTCATCGTTTCTCCACCAACAGTATTGCCAATGTTCTTCATCACTGGCATCCTTTCATCAAGGATCATTGGGTTCTTCAAGTTTTATTGGAAAGATTCGTGATCCTGTTGTTTTCCCTATTTCCCATGTCTCCTATATCCATTTTTTCCCTCTGCCTTGGGATCCCATGACCAGCCAGCATCTGTCAGAGGTGGTTCAGGAACTACTATCTAAGCAGGCCATTGAATCTGTTCTACATCTTCACCAGGTTTTTATTCTAGACTTTTTTTTGTTTCTAAGGAAGCGGGGGACTAGAGGCTTGTCATTGATTTGTCCTGCCTCAGTTGCTTTGTTCAACTGCCCCGTTTTACCATGGAGTCATTTCTCACCCTACAGTGGGCATTTTCTCCAGGCTTATGGATGACAAAGATGGACGTCACCAGTGCTTATCTGTAGGTACCTATATCACGATGGTCTTATCCATATCTTCTGTTCATCCGTCATGTGGTGGTTTATCAATTTTGTGCCCTACCCTTTAGGTTTGCTTTTGCCTGTTATATTTTCTGTCGGGTGGTCAGAGTTTTTGCTCGCCATCTTCCACCATTATATAGACAACTGGCTTCTTCTGGCTCATTCCAAACTGGAGTTGGCCAGCCACACTTGTCAGCTCCTTCTATTGGCTGCTCATGTGGGCTGGTTAATCAAATTGGAGTAGTTCTTCTTCCGACCTACCCAATATCTTGTACACTTGTGTGTCCTTTTTGACACTCATATTAGTCAGGCCCAACCTTCTCTTCTACAACTTTATTTCATGGAACTGTTAGTTTGCTACACCCTTTGAGCTCCCTCACTTTCTGCTTGTGAGGTTCTATTGCTTTTGAGGATGTGGTTTTCAATGATGTCACTGGTCCGCCTCGGTTGTGCGCATATGTGATCGCTTCAGTGGGCTTTTCACAATAAATGGAACCTTGTTTGTGATCTCTTGTCAGCTCTCGTTACCCTTCCTCTTACCCTGATGGACAATCTGCATTGGTGGTTGGACAAGACCCATACATAGGTGGGCATCCTGCTTCCTCCTCCTTGGCCTGATTTACATCTTTTCACGGACACATCTCTTCAGTGCTGGGGTGCATGGGTCAATCACCAGGAGGCTTTGGGTCATTGAATTATAGAGAAAAAGTTCTTTGCATATCAACATCCTTGAGCTTCTTGCAGTCCATCAGGCTTTCAATCACTTCCTTCCTCTCACAAGACATTGTCTGGCAATGATTCATTCTGACAATTATATGGTGGTAGCAAATACCAATCACCAAGGTGGCACCCAGGTCAATATATCTATATTGTTGAACATTGAATCTACTATATTGGGGACACATGCACCACATTTATCTCATTGCATGTCACATTCTGAGTGCTTTCAGTTTCGTGGCAGATCATCTCTTACCTCCCCCCCCCCCGACCAAACATATCCTACAATTGGTCTCACAAATTCCTTTATGTTTATCCTCCTATCTGATTACTTCATCGGGTGATCTCTCTCATTCATACCACTTCATGTCGAGTCCTTCTGATCGCTTTTTATTGGCCAGTTTACCCATGGTTTCCACGATTACAGCAACTGCAACTTTTCCCTCCAGTACCTCTTCCTTTGTCTCCCTTTCTTCTTTTCAACCTTGGTCACTAGTTCTACATCCAGCCATTTACGTCCTTCATCTTCATGCCTGGCTTTTATCTGGTCCTTGGTGAGGAGATCAGGTTTCTTTTGTCGAGTAGCTTTCCTTTTAGCTTATTCTATATGTCCTTCTTCAATGGAGATGTATCAGCACAAGTGGAAAGTGTTCTGCAGTTGGTATGCGACTCTGGGATTCCCTGCTGACCAACCTATTGTGGCAGAGTTTCTCACATGGCTTTTCGATCAGGGATTTTCAGTCTCCTAGCTCTTGGGTTATTGGACTACTTTATCCCATACCTTTAATTTTTTCCAATACCATTGAGTTTTTGCTTCTCCTGTCCTTACCACATTAATGCCTTCCTTCCAGATTCCTCGTCCCCCCCAGAAGGCATACTCTTCTGGACTGGGATATTAATGTAGTCCTCCATACCCTCACTTTACCTCTGTTTGAACCACTTTCCTCGTGTTCCATGTTTTACCTTTCTCTTAAAATGTATTTCCTTCTCCTCTATGCCTGTGGACATCAAAGGTCTGATTTGTTTGCTATTGACATTTCATGTATGTTTTATCACCCTACCTATCTTCTCCTTTATCCTGATTGTTCCTCTCTCCCAAAGATCTCGGCAGCTAGCTCCTCCTTTTTGCCCATTTCCCTTCCTTCTATTTCTTATCTCTACTCTGGTCCTGATCTGGATAGACTTCTCTCTCCGGTCCTTATTCTTTGTTGTTATATTGCCTGTACAGCTTCCTTCTTTGGTACCATTCCTGGTTTTTTATTCTTTGGCGGTCTTCCTTTGTTTGGGATCTTTCTCCTTCTATCCTCACCAAATGGATTCGACTTTTGATTCTATTGTCTTATTTTTTTTGTCTTCTTCCTCTCCAACTTTGTTCCATCTTTTTCCTCGCTTTTATTTTTTGTTGGCTATTGGAGGAAATCCTGCAGTCGGACATGTAGACTACACTTTATACATTCATCTCCCATTATTTACATCATATCGCAGTTTTTTTTCATCTGGTTTTCATCTTCCACCTGTGGCCATTTTTTAGGCTTCAGTGCAACTTTGACTGGGTAAGTTTATATTCGTACTTTCTTTTCCTTTCAGGGCCCTTGCTTCATCTACTCATTATATGGATCCTGCTCTGTGGCAAGTAGTGCCTGACCAGGTATTCTTTAATTTAAAATCTGCACTGTACAGCCAATTTGACTCACACTTTATCTTCCATGGCTTCACAATAATCACTGTTGAGGTGGGGGGGTCCACAAGATTGCTTGTAGATGAATAGCCTCACAATGTAATTCCTTCATAAACTTGCCCGTTCCAAACTGTACCACCCATGGACTGACTGCATGGGTAAAGCAGAAGGTGATAGCTTTACATCCCTGCCA